AACCTCCAATTCTCACTGGAGTTTCTAATTTGTTAAGAATAATTTATGAATAAAATTATTTTCTGATTGAAAAGCAAAGCTGTAAAATCATTCTACGTGTCCTGACAATTTTATTTGATTTTTATATTTATCAAAATCATCAGATTGATTGAACATGTAAGATTAATTCTTAATCTCGTAAAAATTAAGCCACCTGCTGATCCCGGTGAATTACAGGATGATCAAACGTAACGTAACACAAATCCAATAAATTTAACTTATCCTGTCTCTCTGTTTGATACTAATCTTTCGTTTAGTATCCTAACCAAATTTCTTCCCATTCTCTCGGTGAAAATATCAGTGATAGTAGAATTTCCCCTCCCTCAACAAAAGAGAGAGAGAGGTTAGGTTATCTTAAATTTTGACTGACAATGAAAGGGTTATCGTCTTATCAGGATCGTCTTAAGAATTAAATTGGCTGACTAAAAGAGATTAACATTTTGAATATTTTCTTGTTCAAATATTAAACGTTCTATACAGTTATATAATACTGTAAAACGTATATTACAGTAATGGTAGTAGTGTCTTGCAAAAGAGATTGTTCATCAAATCCTTTTTCAAATAATTTTCTCAAGTTGAAAATCAATTTTAATAGAAAATAAAAAAAAAAATTAAAAAAAAAAAAGTGAAAAAGAAGAAATGATGCCTGAAGCAAATCATCGAGCGGTTTTTCTCAAAGAGGGGAAAAAGGTAGGAAGGACCTGTGAACGCTGATGAAACAGGAAATGATGTTAAGGGCGGAAAAGGAACTATCTTGCTTGAGAATAATGCCGTAAGAAAATAAAAAACTAAAGACGAGAAAGAAAAAAAAGAAAAAAAGGTGAGACGAGTGAAATTGTCCTTCGGCTAAATGGAAACTGCCATTTTCTTTTCTTTTTGTTCTTTAATCGATAAGAAGATGGATGATCATTTAAAAAAAAAAAAAAACGATTATTATCTATTAGCAAAAAAATATTGAAAGAAACAAAACGTGTTTAACACTAGATATACCAAACCAAAGTCATTTTGACTGATCAGGCGGGCCATTTTAATTCAAAATGTCTACTTCATGTAACATTTGAGTTCTGTAAATAATTAAGCGTTTTGTTATTTAAAAATGTCGAGTAAATAAAGACTGGAAGCCTTAAAAAGCATTTTTTTTTTATACACTAGTCATTTTAACTAGTGTGGTAGAAATAGGTATACTGAAAATGCTGGTATATCTAGTGTTTTAACAAAAGAAAATATTTGTTTATCTAAAACTAAACACCCTAATAAAAAACTCATATATATATATATACATCCTTGAAATATAAGAAAAATAATAAAGAAAAAAATTCAAATGAACAAAATACAATTTTTTATCAACCCCTCGTTCGTTTGATCTCATACGAAATTAGTATTACGATAATAATCACTCAGGTTACCTTATAGACTCATCAAAGATCTAATCTTGTTCCAAAAAAAATATTCCGACAATGTCATGTAAAGAAAAAAAAAAAGGAATACAGTCAAGTAAAGAATTATTTATCACGAATGGGAAAAGGGGATGAGTGGGTGGTGGGTGAGAAAGATCAAGCAATCGTAAAAGTCCGATCGAGTTAGGCACGTTTTTCATTAGCTCATCCCGTTCTACATTTATCCATGGCCACCTGCCGTGCCTAAATCCCTATTACATCCCTTTTAGCATCCCCCTTTTAGTATCAACGTGATCCACCCCCAACGTTGGTTCTTTAAACGTAGTCTTAAGCTCCATTTTCTATGAACATAGAAAGATAGATAAGTTACAAGTTTCACTGACGTATCGATCCGAAGATACTGAATTGAAAGTGAACGACTAACTGTAATGTATATATATATATATATATCGATTCAACTTTATGTCCTACTTTCGTTAAATCAAACCCATAAAGGATCATACTTTTGAACTTGTTCTCATCCCTCCCTTTTTTTTCCTTACGCGTAAATGGGCTCTTCTTTCTAAACAACGGAAGAAAACAACAAAAAAGGTTTGCCCTTTTATTTACACCCACACACCCACACATACACACATATATACATACTGTGACAGTATATTACTATATAGGCTTTAAGAGTTGAGTTTGTCGAGTAAAAAAGTTTATTTTGTACCTTGTTCTCTTCGTTGGAGCTTGCTACAAGGTTATTGGCGGCAAAACGAACCCCCCACTCTCCTCAACATCTCCCCCACCACTATCATCACTACTAGATGCTGCTACTACTATCCCCTCCCCCATAACTCCGGTAGTTGGTTACAGTAATTCGTTCACCAATGCGCCAATCACTTCGTCAAAGTTTGTCCTATAAATCGTATAAGGGAGAGAAAGGGTCACTCGTCGAATTTAATTTAATATACCTAACTTTACTCTATAGTTACGAATTACCCTCGAAGCTCTCTCTCTCTCTCTCTCTCTCTCTCTCTCTCTCTCTCTCTTTCTCTCCTCTATTTGTTTTTACTCTGTTAGAACATTTTTCTCTATTTTTATTTCATCGATAATTTTCTTTTACTTTAGATTTATAGGTTAGTTTTATACGCGTTTACGTTTTCATTTTGTAAATAGAGTTTGAATGGTTAGGGATTTTTTTTTCTATTGAAATCAATTTTTATTTTAGAAAAGAAACATTTCTTTTTTATTTGATAATTTTTTCTTCAACAAGTTTTTATTTATTTAGTTTTAATTGTGAAAATATTTCGAAAGAGAATCTCCATTTTTCTTTACAGTAAATCAAACTATAGAAATTTAGTTACTTTACTTTTTCTGTGTGTATGATGTATATGTATGTATGTATGTATGTGTGTATAGAAAAGTTTCTTTGAACGTTTAACTAACACGTATACAGCGATAAGATATTTTCTAATTTTGAATGAAAAGAAAAACATGGTTTAACATCGACGTCTATGCAATTTTGTTTTTATTACATTTAGATATGAAAAGATTGATGAAATGTTTCTTCTACATTTTCTATTAAAGTCAATTTTCTCACATTTTTTACATCATTCTCGAGATATTTAATGAAAACAAAATATATATTTCAAGAGAATGTACCGTGAAATATGAAAACTTAAACAATTTTTATTCTTCAACTATTATAAAGGAAGGTTTCTTTTTTCTTTTCTTTTTTTTTTTTACTTATTGTTGGTAATAACTTTTCTCTTATTCTCTCTCTTTCTCTTGTAAAAGAATATTTTTTCTTTTTCTTTTTTCTTTTCTTGCAAATTTAACTGATTCTCTCAAAATATCGTTTACCACGTCGAACGTTCTTTTAAAAATATCGTATGAACATATTTTTCAGTTAAAGTAATATTCTAATTTTGTTTTTCTTCTGATCAAATATAATCGAATTTTTTGTATACATACTTTGAAATTTCGCAAAAAAAAAATTCGTTATAATAACGATAGAAAGGTATAGGTTACATGATTCAATACAAAAACTACGACCATACGAGAAACTTGAAATAACACTTTATCACAAACCTAGCATACATTTTTCACAAAGAACTATTCAATATAAAAATCGATTTGCATCGATTAATTAAAAATAAAATATAAACATAATAAACATTTGTCATAAATATATATCCGTGAAATTGAACAAAATTCAATATATTTTTTATAAATAACATGTAATAAATATAACACTATTGCAATATAAAAACATGTAGAAAAATAAAACAAAATTTTGCACAAATTTGTCATGTGCATAATCCAAGACGTAAAGAACTGGAACTGGGCTTACATTTGGATTGAATTTTTTTTCAAAATAGATAAGAGAAAGATGTTCCCTTTTGCCAGAAAGAACATTTCTTGATAGTGATTCAGAAAACGGGTTGTGGGTTGGGTGACATAGGGTGCCACGATGTCTAGCCAAGTAGTTTATTCGCTACCTCCAGCCAACTCGGCTATCTTTTGCTTATGCACAATCCTTTTTCTCTTTTTCTTTTTTTCTTTTCCTTACCCCTTACCCCTTTCCCTCACTGTCAAACCCCACTCCCAGTTTCCGTCGTCATTTTCTTTCAAAAGTTTTCTCATTTGCATCCCATGCGAAAGATTCTTACGCTCGTACTCGCAAAACAACTTTGAACGAACGAAAGGGAAAATGAGAAGATAAAGTGTTAAAATTTGTATTAACAAAATATATATATATTATATAGAATTAAACAAGACTATAGTTAATAATAAATTGATTACTTTAGTTTTTGAAACAAATATCTTCTTCTTTCTATATAAAAATTCAGTGTCACAATGTTCGACCACTAATAACTCTGAAATTAGTTAACCAATTTTAATGTAATTTTGTTTATTTTGTGTAATTTTTGTCAACTTAGAATATAGAATAGTTTTTAGGGCAATTTTTTTTTATCTTTTTATTGCTAATTTAAAAACTCTATTGCTAATAAAAAAAACTATTTAGAGGTTATCTAAGTCTCTATAGTTCTTTTTTCAGATTTGCATATGACATAACCTAACTTTATATTTTATATTTTTTCGAGTATTATTATTTTATGTATTCCATTGTAATTGATGTATTATTTTGTGTTTTGTTATTTATATATTATATATTATATATATTAAAAATTGAGTGTTGTTCTATGCCTAATTTGAATTTGCCTAGTTTAGAATTATATTATATCAACGTTCAATAGATGGCACTGTATTTCAATTCAATTATTTCACGTTTTTTTCAGAGTTACATAACACAAAACTAACCTTGCTTTTTATATTCCCTTTTAATTGTGGGTATTAATTTTGTGTGTTGTTATAATTAATGAAATAGTTTAAAATTATATTAAATCAACATTTAATAACAAAACTACAAGAACGCGTGACTGGAGCATTCTAGTATACATAAATATATATATATATAGAAAAAACATTTTATTAAAATAATTAACGTTAAATATCGATAATTTGTAATAACGATAAATCATCATGCTATTTAATATCCTGACTTACGTTTGTAAGGACATCCTGAAACGACTAATGGACACCGGAAATTCATATCCGTCAACTACGATTGTCTCGACGATCTTTTAAGGTTAGTCTTTATGGTTCAAAGAAAAAATAAAAAAAGAAGAAAAGAATAAAGAAACAAAAAGAATATGATCGGAATTGGTGTGCTAAAAAAAAAAAAGAAATTGAATGAGAGAACGTTCGATTACTTTTAAAAAAAGAAAAAATTAAATATGTCTACTACTATTACTATTATAGCAAGTTGGTAAATATATATATATATATAGATGTAATAATTTAAAAGTGTATATGTTTGTGCGTATATCTAGATTGCAAAGGTCGGTCCTATGGCACGGTTGCTTCTTCAAAGGTTGAAGACCTTTCCTCTTCATTATTAACGCGATGTACATCGATTTTGTCTGTGTCTACCATCGTAATACTCCATTTTATCAAACTAAGAAATATCGTGAAATGCGTAAACAATTATTTTTCAAAAGTATTACAAAAATACACCCTTATCAAATAAACATTTCAATGATGATTCCAATTAAAATCGTCAACGAATAAATCGGATAAATGAGAAATAGAAAAAAAAAACACGAGTCTCACGTAAATAATTGACAAAGAAACTAAAATAGATGACAACACCTGTTGTTTACGAGAAAATTGACGAAGAAAAAAACCAAATTCTACACACTTACCCCTTTTAAGATGTACATGAGGATGACAACAACACAGGTACGATATCGATGTAAAACATGCGATTAAATAATTCAAGATTGTTCAAATTGTTCCTAATCAACATAGTATTCTCATAAACAACGTTGATTATTTTCTTCTTTCACTCTATCTTCACATGTTTTTCATTTTTATTTTTTATTTCATTCCAAAATCCCCCCCTCACCCACCCCATCCCCAACAACAACAATTATTACAATTATTCATACAAGTATTAGCAAAAAAAAGGACAACGATTTGAGAATGTGAAAGGATAACAAGGTGAGGATGTGAGGATTGATGATAAAAATAAGAAACAAACAAACAAATGAAAAAAAAAAAACAAAAAATACATCGATCGATTGATCTCGATCAATCGAACTGGTCCCGCGCGCGTTTGACAAGCAACGACGAGGTGCGAGGGTCGTCACCGTTTGCCACGAAAGAGGCACTACCACCCCCTTTGATATCCTTCCCTTTGATGCCACGTGCTAGTACCGAGTAACGCGCAAGTTCAAATGGGGGAAACCCTTAACGCGCAAACTCCAATATACAGATACTTATGGAATCTTTTTTTTTATTATTATTATTATTATTATTATTATTAACATTAGATCTATCATTTTTATCATTATTTTATTTCTATGTATATTTATTCTATATAATAAAATGTATTCTCTCGAACAAATATACTAATTTCTTTGGTTTTTCTTTCTGGGTTTGTTTGTTTTTTTTTTACAAATTATAATTTGTATATTACAATTTGTAAATAATATTATATAATTATAATAAATAATATTATAATAATAGTATATTGAATTTATATATATAATTATTTATATATTTATTTAATAAAATATATAATTAATTGTACATTTAATTTTTTCTTTTTTACAAATTATAATTTGTATATTACAATTTGTAAATAATATTATACAATTATAATATTAAATATTATAATAATAGTATATATATTGAATTTATATACAATTAATTATATATTTATTCAATAATATATAGAACTACTATATAAATTAATTTGCATAAATTTGTATTATAATTGTATACTAAATTATAAATTATATTTAAAATTGAATTTTTTCTTTTTTTTTACAAATTATAATTTGCATATTACAATTTGTAAATAATATTATATAAATATAATATTAAATATTATAATAATAGTATATATATTGAATTTATATATAATTAATTATATATTTATTCAATAATATATAGAATTAATTGTATATTTAATTTTTGAAGTGGAAACTTCTTTAGAATGGAGGACCAGTCGAAGAACTAATTTAAAAACATGTTAGTTCATCGACTGGCTGTTAGATTGTCCACGTTTCTCACGAACAAAGCATTGAAATTCTAGCGAATTTCCAAAAGAACCATTTAAATAAAATTCCTTAATATTAGTTTAGATAAAAAAGACCAAATAATCAAAGCTACGAGTAATATATCAATTAGACATTTGTCATTCGATTGAAAAAAATTGTTAACGTTACGTAACGCATCCGCAAGGTAGAATAAATTAATAAAGCATTAATTATATAAACTGTCTGCATAAATTGAAATAATGTGACAAATAAACGAGATAAACATAAATTCCTGATAGAGAAATCTGCAATAAAAAAAAAAAAATTTGCATCACATCAAAGATTAGATTATTCAATAGGAAATGTCGAAATATAAAATCTGATTAAGAAATCTAAATTAAAAATTATAATTTTATAAATTAATATTAAATAAAATATTAAATTTAATCTATATATATATAGATATATAGATTAAATTATATTATTATTATATTGTATTTTTTATAATATTTTATTTATTATATAATAAATAATTTTTAATATTATAATGTTATTTTATAATATTATATTATTCTTATATATAGTCGTAGTACATAAATATACTACTAAGTACATTTTATTATACTAAGTATTATAAATAAACTATTTATTTAGTTTTAAGTAACAAAATTATTAATTTAGTAGTTAATAAAGTAACTACTTAAAATTACTAATTATTACTTAAAATAAGTACTTATTTTACTAATGAGTAGTATATTACTAAAACAAAAAATATATATACTATTATATTATTAAATTTATACTATAATAAAATAAATATAATACTATATAAAAAAAATATATATATATATATATATATATATATAAAACTACTATCAAATATCAAAAACTCTCTCAAATATTCCTGATACGTAAGTATTTAAAAAGATTCAGTCATTAATTAATAAGGAATGATCTGGAGGTTTCAAGAAAAAATGAAAGTCGTAAAAACCAATGGTGGGGATGATAAATATATAAGGACACCGAAAGGAACCAGTCATTTTCGGTGTAGTTTAAAGAGACGAGTGTATTACGAGTGTATTAAAATTCACAAGGTTACATTACGGGTTTTGGTATATTAATAGGTACACCTTTAAGGTATTCTCTCATGGTAAAGTATTTCGTCAAAGTGGCCAACCAATTTTGAGAAAAAAGCTTTTAACTCTTTGACTGTCAGACATATTTAGAGCGTCTTGCTTTAAATTTGTGAAAATATAATATTATTAAGTTACTGATATAATATTGTAATAGTATCTGCAATAGTTGATAATTAATGTTTTTTACATTATGTCAATATTTTTGTCAACCTTTTTAATAATTCCTTACTAAAATAATTATTTGTAGTTAATCTAAAATTGCAACACACACTACGAGATATCTCGTAGTTGGCAGTCAGTGAGTTAACATATTGCACTCAGGTAAACCAGCAACTCGAGAACTGCCTGTAGACCCGCAGCATGAATTCTTTACAGTTAACTTCTAATGATTTTATACAGAATAAAACTTGTATATTTTGATAATATACCTACATATCTTCATAGTTTAATGAACAATATTTGTTAAACATTACGTTCTATTTGTTTGATTACGCGTAGTATGATATTTTATAAAAAGATTTTCAAGGTGCATTTTTGACTTGTTGGGGTCCACCCAAGTATTACAATAGATGACAGTTTTTAATTAAAAAAAAAAAAAAAAAAATTGAATTTATCTTTGATACATGTAATTTCTTTAATAAAAAAAAAAGTGATCTATGCCCTTTGAGTTTAATAATCTTGCAAAAAAAAAAAAAATATTCTAATTGGCATTAAAATTAAGTTTGAACTAACCACAAGGGACGGAAATCGAGTTCATCTCAGAGAAGGAAGGTGTAACATTTTTTTGAACTTATGATTTTTATCTTGTTTTTCTTTTCTATTTAATCAAACTGAGCCACAGCAACAAGTTGTGACGGGACACAGCTAGTAAATAAAAATATTCAAACGTTTTTTAAGATTGAATTTCTTCTTAAATATTACTTATGATTTATTTTTCTTTTTTCAGTATTTTACGATCATTAACGAAACCATGGAATCACCGAAATTTCGTTATACTAAGGACAACGATCGGCTTACTTTCAAGGAACGTTTGTTCTACGAAAAAAATGGATATTTATTAATTCCTGATCTTATACCACAATCTATAAGAGACAAATGTTCCCAAAGGTAATACAAAAAAAAAAAAATAACAATAAAAAGATCTATCATTGATCAAGGATAATTTTCAAATGATATTTCATATTATTTTGTAGATTCGACGATATCGTTAGCGGGAAAGTCGAACGAGGAATGATTACGGTTATGCGAGATATCGTTAATAAAAAACAAGTCAACAAAATACAAGATATTAATCATGACGACATATTTCGAGAATATTTTGAATATGATAAAATATTAGACATAGTCGAATGTTTCACTGGTCCTAATATAATGGCATTGCATAGTATGTTAATAGCTAAACCACCTGATGCAGGACTTGGTTCTAGTGAGTAAGTAAATCAATTAAAACAAAATATTGGTTTATGTTTAACTATTGGGTTTGTTCAGAGAGTAATTTCATTTTTCTTTTGTGAAAATAAATACAATGTTTGCTTAGAGATTAAATTTAGGCCTTTCAAGTGGGCATAAACAGTTGAATTTGATAAAATTAATCTCTCATCGATCTCACGTGTTGTTATTTGCTGGTTTACATCAATTAATGCCAAAATTGTGTCAGAAAAAAACGAAATAACTTTCCAAACAACCCAATATAATTTGAATAAATCAATTTAGGAAGATTCTAATTGTCAAGATTGAAATTTTGTTCAGACATCCACCACATCAAGATCTTTATTATTTTCCATTCCGACCGGCTGACAAAATTGTAGCATCATGGACCGCAATAGAACCCTGCGATAAAGTAAACGGTTGCCTTTACGTTTATCCTGGAAGCCATACACTCGACAAATTATATCCACACAATTATCCTGTTGGTAGTAAACCAAATACGGTTAATAAATTTTATCACGGTATTAATGTAAGTAATTAATGAAAATATTTCTTTTCTTTTCTTTTCATTTACTTGACAATATTGAATTTTGGGGATGAGATATGATGTTGTTATATTTTTTTTAGGAATATCTACCAGGGAAAAAAGTCTACTTACCAATGAAACCTGGCGATACCGTAGTCTTTCATCCTTTGCTTATACACGGATCTGGGATAAATCAATCAAAGAGAACGAGAAAGGCCATTTCTTGCCATTACGCTAGCTCCGATTGTTATTACGTTAAAGTATGTATATATATTTCTAATACTATGTTTTCTAATTTTTATAATATAAAAAATGATATATATTTTTAACAGCCCGCAAATGAGGTAGAAAAACTGATTCAAGATGAGATCGAGGAAGTTGTACGCAAAAAATATAATGCAAATTTAAACTATATAGATTTTTGGAGCTTTAAATCCAGCCTTGTGCGTGGTAAACGATGTTCATTATAGATTTATGATTTATAAATAACCGATATATTTTGAATCATGCTATTAATTAATTTTAGTATTATCAATAATGGTACCTAAGTAGTAGATTTTTGCATTCTACTACTCTGTGGTTTGGTTTCTTATATTCTATTTTTTCTATCCTTCCATTTTGAACAATAATTTATAATTTAATAATAATAATAGTTAAAAGGAGATATAGGAAAAGGGAATTAAATCGTTTCAAGGATAATTAATTGCACGACAGAAGAAGATGTAACGACAACAGCATCGTTGTCGCGATTATTATTAATTGATTTGATATCACGTCGATGTCGTTGATAATTATATGGCGGTTGTACTGTATAACAATGTTTCGAATGTGGATCTTTATAAGTATTTTCGTGACGTACGCTAGCACTGGAAGTACGACATGCTGCTAAACATATTTGAAATCTATCCATATTACGTAAAAGTGACTTTACCGTTTCCTCTTCCTTTATTTTAGGATTATTTTTACCACTTTCTATCGTACTCTTCTTTCCTTTTATCTGCTATTAAAAATATAATTACAATTTAAACGTTTAATTATCTTAAGTTAATATTTAACGTATTAATATTTAAATAAGGTTATAGAAAAATGTAAAAAAAAAAATAAAATAAAATAAAATTGAAAAATAAAGATACCTTGGCAGGATGTAAACAACAAGATACGCAATATTCATAAATAGCACAACATCCTTGAGCATTACACGTTTTACAACTGTATCTTTCTTTACGACTTGTAATCACGCTACCATCTTCCTTTTTCAATCCTTGTTTTTGTTCTGTGCTACAGCATCCGTTAGGTAAAAGTTCATGCCTAGCGCATACAATACCTTGTTCATCTACTATCAATACTTTGCCCTATATGCGAATGATTTTATATTTTATTATTGATATTGCAATATACCTAACAGATATATAACTTAATACATCTAAACACACCTGTATAGAATTGCGACAAGGTTCATTGGACGAATCGCTATCATTGAAATTAACAAGTGGATCTATACCTAGTGCATTTTCATTACCATCATTTTGAACCTCATTCTGACCCTCGTTTGGTGTTTCATTTGGAACATCCATATCCCAAGATTGAGGTTTACCAGATGCTTTAATTCGTTGAAACGAAAGTTCATCCTCAGAAATGATATCATCGTTATTATCATTTATTATCATATCCTCGAGATCATTATCCAATGCCATTGTTCTTCTCTTTAATTAATATAATCATTTTATTATTAAATATATATATATACATATATGTATGCATATAGAAATGTTAGAAAAGTATTACTTACTTCATTGCGAAATAAAGAAAATGCACAATAAGTTAATGACAATGAAAATATCAATCCAAGAACTAAACGTCGACGAATTATTCGAATTAAACCCGTGTATCCTGGCATGATTATAGATTTCCTAACTAAACACGAAATTCTAAATTTTGATGCATTTTTATCAATCGGGTATACCACAATGATTTATTATATTCATCGTATATCCAAATATTTTGGAAAGTAGTTATTTTCAACATTTATTATTCGCATAAATTATATTCAAGCATAATGAACAACATAAACTTGTATCTTTCTCAAATTTCATCTAATTTCAAATTAAGGTTATGTTTCTTATTGCACTTTTCTATATCAACACTTATATATATATATATATATATATATGTATTTGATAACATTTAATAAAATATTTTCAATCATAACACAATTATCGATAATACTATTGTTTTATCATCTTATCTAATAACAAATAAACAAATATATGCAATTAATTAAAAGAACAATATTTAAGATAATGAAAACGTCGTTAAATGAATTAGTTTACTTGTCAAACGATAGATGGACTCGCGCATGCGTGCGTATTTGATAAGACTATTATCGACATCTGTCGATTCGTATTAGTAAATATTTTCAAATTATCGATATTATAAATATCGATATCGTTTATCGATAAATTAATGCAATTACGTATGTGAATATAATGCTTTTATAAATATACATGAGAAAATACTATTCTTGTTTAGTCATGTTTTTCTTTTTTTTTTCTCTTTCTATGTTGTGTGTTACATACGCAGGTTAATTTGTGGGCACATGCATCTCTCGTGTAAAATATAAAGTTAAGTGATTAAATACAAATAATATATAGGATAATATTCAAACAGTTATCATCTCATCGATTAATCCAAAGTGAAATACATTTATACATTAAATGTATTATAAACAAATTGTTGTTCAACGAAACAAAAAGTGATATGAAATTAAATAAAATACAATGGTTATTATCGTTTGTTATATTTACGATCATTTTCACCATTATACTTTGGGCTTCGATAGATCTTGGTCGAAATACCAGCTTCGATAAGTAAGTATATAATAATATATATATATATATATATATTTAAATACATTTTAATTAATAACATTTTTTAAATGTTAAACCAAAATCAATATCCCATTGTATATAGAAAAGATATCATTTAAATATCATATGAATTTATATTGTTTTTAATCTTTTTAATATAAAAACAGGAACGAAAAGGAATCTAAACAAGATAAAAGTTTAAATAATACAATTAATTCATAGCTTTCCATATAATATGGTGATAGCTTGATTTTAACTCTTTGATTTAAATGTTAATGGTATTACAAGGAAAAACTTCCGTTAAAGAAAATGTCGTCTTCTTAATTAAGTTTAACCGGTTCCTCAAAAACGTAAGCAAAATTACATTAATAATTTCTATTCTGTCATTTTGTTTGAATAATTCGTTGATTTTTAATAAATGATTTTTATTTATATAGCAAATCATTCGAATCAAAACGAATCAAAAAAAAAAAAAAATTTAAGGAAAAATTATGCGACTAAACTATAAGTCCAAAACTATCAAAAGTAAATCATTGAATAATTTGAAATGATTCATTAAGAATATAATAATAATTTATAAATATTATTTGTAAAAGATCGAAATTAGATAATGTGAAGATTCATAGATTATCAACAAATACCAAATACGTTGGTGAAAATATCAAATATATTTGAATTTATATTCCAATACATTAATATTGTGGAAATATTACTCTAGTAGTACAAAATATTGAAAAATATTGAATACATGTGTATTTAATATTAAAAATACATTAAATCTCTTTTTAAT